TCTCAAAGATTCAGACAGTCTTTTAACAGTTGGAAAACATGACACCTAAATACGAAGGACCATTGGAATACAAACCTATATGGCAAGGAATGCTAGAAACATTCTTGACAGATGAAGACAAAACTGCAACAGAAACCTGCTGGACATACCGAGGAAGTTTTATGAACCAGATGCTGTACCCTATCGTCTCTCTCAACAGAACCCTGATTATATAGTTGCAAAACAACCCGTGCCAATAGACGTTACTGTGACGTACCATATATCAAGGAATTGGATTGTCGGACGAATTTGGTAGCTACACCTTTTGAAATGTCATCAACAAACTTAACAATGGTTGTGGCACAAGATTAACTCCTTGAGATTAAAACGATCTTATCTCTTGTAATGTTGTCCCGTCTTTCCTTAGACGAAGGTTGCTGAAAATTCAGATCATTTTTTTCTTTCCACTTGAGCGATACTTTATCAAACACGACTTAAATAATTTGTTTGATTACTCCTCGTGTCTACGCTTGTTTCGTTCTATTAGAAGCAAGATAACTTTAATTTTTTCCGTTTTTCTCTCAATGTAGCTAACATTAGGTTACGGTGAGAAAAGCGTGTGACAACGAGAAATAAGAATTATTTGAATCGCTTTGCCGTTAGAAGTTTCAGAGCTGACAATGGAAATTCGAATAAACCCATTTTAAATTTTACCAGTTTTTGAACAGATAGTTCTCTCTCGTGGACTTGATTTTATATTCTCCCTTTTAAAATTAACCCGTCCTGGGTATGAAGATAAACTACATCCGTGTCCTTGGTATGACGATAAACTACATCCGTGTCCTGGGTATGACGATAAACTACATCCGCGTCCTGGGTAAGACGATAATCTACATCCGCGTCCTGGGTATGACGATAAACTACATCCGCGTCCTGGGTAAGACGATAAACTACGTCCAACAGCAAGACCTCTAATCAGGAGGCTTTGAAGAGCGTGGAACCACCTCTTAATTGCTGGTGTTACCAGGTCCACCCTGACCCGGGGTGGTAGCACCTGTTAGGGTCCCAGCTATGGGCAAATAGTTAACCCCGAAAGTGAGGTAAAAAAGAAGAAGGGGTGTTACCAGCAATACGTTTCTGAAAGAAAGCTGTTGCCAGCGATGCGTTTTTGAAAAAATATTGCCACCTGTACGTTTTTGGAAAGATAATGTTGCCGGCTATACGTTTTTGAAAAAATAATATTGTAGGCTGTACGCTTTTGAAAAAATAATATTACCGGCCATACGTTTTTGAAAAGAATATTTTTGGCTGTACGATTTTGAAAAAAGATAATATTAACAGCTATACGTTTTTTAAAAAAATAATATTACCGACTGTACGTTTTTGAAAAAATTATATTACCAGCTATACGTTTTGGGAAAAATAATATTACCAGCTATACGTTTTTGAAAAAATAATATTACCAGCTATACATTTTTGATGAAAAAAAGTATTAACAGAAATAGATTTTTGACAAAACAAAAATATTACCAGGAAAAAAAAATTGTCTGCATTAAATGACCCATTGAGCTTGATTGATATGCCGTAAAACAAACCAAACCGAACAAGACCAAAACTAAAATTAGCAAGGAACAGAGTCTGAACTGATGTCAGTTATGTGTCATGCGTGATACACGCTCAGGCAAAGATATATATTTCGATACATAACTGACGAGGCAGATTTTTTCCTGTAGTAGGTTGCCATTTATTTCTACATTACACCAATTGCCATCTAAGGCTATAGAACACGGTCTGTCCTGCTATTTACTCATAGCTAAGGAGAGAAGAAAATGATTCATACCTTTCTCAAGGGTACGTAAGGGAATGTTATGGATTCGACTGGAAATCGAACTTACCGATTTCTCATTCCAAGCCGACTTATGTAGTCAGTTAAATTAGTATTTTCCTGCCTCTCCTGATAAGGTTCCCGTAATTAAAGATAGATTGCTTTAATTATCGTGACTTGCTTCGGCAATTGGAGATTCGTCTCCAGCTGAGTTGGTCAAACTCTCTGCCTTCGGGTAGAGATGAACCCAGACGAGTCTCGTCTGAGGAGGTAGACAGCTACACGACCCGGTGTGTACGGAGTCTACGGAGAATATCTGCCCGAGCATACAAGCCCGTATGCTCGGGCAGTTTACCCCACTTTAAATTCGGCTTTCTTCCACATCTGACCGCGTGTTGGCAAATATCCTTGAATTGTCTAACTAATATTCTCCGCTCACTGAAGGATTTTCTAACATGGTGTAGTGTTCATTTTCGAACTATAAAAATCTTGAAGTCCAGACAATATATTAATTTAACTAAACCTGACAAGGGAACCTTTATCAGGCTTACTTAAATAAGTGTATTTTCTTTTCGTTTTCAGCTTAAACAATAAAGATTATGTCGACAAGATGGCTATCATTTTGAATGATTCCTCCAAAATCAAGAGTATTGGTCCTGCTAGTATATTTGATAACACTAGTAAGGTGGAAGCGAAAACGTAGAGATGGATGCTTTCAGTTTATAAGAACAACCTAATTTCCAAAGATGTTTATAACAGTGGATTTTTTTTATAAATGATAGCCATCTTGTCGATATAATCTTTATTTCATAATGTGTGACGTCATTTATTTACATTTGGATACGCATCGAGCAGATATGAATGTATGAGAGAAAATCATGGAGAATTGTGTTTAAAAGCAGTAAAATCGACCTTGCTAACGGAACGCTCCACTGTGGCCCAATCGGTTAAGGCACGTCAGGCTAAATGACGGTTCCGTATAGGATACAGGTTCGATTCCTGTCGGAGGACGCATATTTTCTATGAAAATTTCTCGGACATTCAGTGGTAAATGTTGTTTAATACTGTTTATTCTAAACAGAGCATTTACTTAAATATTTGTATCTATAAAAAGAATGTATAAACATAAAAATGTCTTTAATATATATATATATATATATATATATATATATATATGACCATTAGAGTCTAAGCAAGACGAGATGCTGCACTCAGAGGCCAGGGGTTATTGTCAGGGAAATATATATATATATATATATATATATAAAGAGAGAGAGATATGTTAGAGGTTGCCAGCGAAAGAGGCTCAGAAGACGTTAGTGAGGAGAAAGAACGATAAAATAATAAGATTCAAGAAGACAAAACAGTATCAGATAGATAGATAGATAGCCCGCCGCCCTTTGTCTGCCAGGACGATTGATCATTGGCGTTCAATTCAGCAATATAAAAGAATGGGTTAAAGCTTTTCTCTCTTTCTATTTCTCTCTCTTTCTATTTCTCTCTATTTCTCTCTTTTTTTCATTTTCTATGTCTCTATCTCTCTATCTTTCCCTAACACTATTCTACATTCCTCTGTCTCTTTTTGTTTCTCTCTTTCCCGCATTGTTCTCAGCGTTTCACTACTTCACTCTGTCTAAAAAAAAATTATTTCCCTCTTTCTCTTTCTCATTCTCGCTTTATCTTTCACTTTCTCTCGGTTCAGGGGAATTTTTTTCTCTCTTTTTCGCTTTCTTCATTCCCTTGTTTATGAGTCTTTCGCATTTTTTCGTCTCCCCCCTCTCTCTCTCTCTTTCTCATTCTTTCTTTATCTTTCACTTTCTCTCGGTTCAGGGGAATTTTCTTTTCTCTTTTTCGCTTTCTTCATTCCTCTATTTATGAGTCTTTCGCCTTTCTTTGCCCCCCCCTCTCTCTCTCTAACACTATTCTACATTCCTCTGTCTCTTTTCGTTTCCCTCTTCCCCACATTGTTTTCAAAGTTTCTCTAGTTCACGCTGTCTAAAAAAAAATCTCTCTCTCTCTCCCTCTCTCTCTCTCCTCCTCTCTCTCTCCCTCCCTCTCTCTCTCCCTCCCTCTCACTCTCTTTATCATTCTTTCTTTATCTTTCAATTTCTCTCGGTTCAGGGGAATTTTTTTCTCTTTTTCGCTTTCTTCATTCCCTTGTCTTTCTTTCTTTCTTTCTTTCTTTCTTTCTTTCTTTCTTTCTTTCTTTCTTTCTTTCTTTCTCTCTATCGCTATTCTTCATTCCTCTGTCACTTTTCGCTTCCCTCTTTCCCACATTGTTTTCAACGTTTCTTTCCTTACTTCACTCTGTCTAAAATCTCTCTCTCTCTTTCTCACTCTCTCTTTATCTTTAGCTTTCTCGCGGTTCTTGGAACTTTTTTTTCGCTTTCTTCATTCTCTTGTGTATGAATCTTCCGCATTTCTTACTCATTCTCTTACCATTCATTTCTCACTATTTCTTTTCCCTTTCTTTCTCCAAACAGTTTTATATCATTTTTTATTCCTATCCATCTCCCCACCTATAAAACCTCTCATTTTTCACCCTCTAATTTTCTGTCTGTCTCTTCTTTCTCTATCCTCTCTCTTTCTCTCAGTATTTATCTATTTATTTATGCATATCATTTCTTTCCTATTCGATTTTACCCCTTTTTTTCTCTCCCCTGCCTAATTTCACTTCCTCGCTTTTCAAAAATGTCTTATACCTTTATTCTATCCTTTACTAGTCGACATAGGTATTTGGTTACATGAACGTCTGATCACGCATGCGTAGCTTCGGTTTTTATCCGACATTTTAGCCGATCAGTTGATCTTATATTCCCAGTCGCTTCCATTGCGAAAGTGAAAGTGAAAGTAAAATACAATAATATTAGTTTCATGACGACACACGATGTCCAAGCAATGTTGAAAGCCGCAGAGCGGATCTTATTCAATATTACTGTTTGTGATTTGATAATGTTTATCCAAAATCAGGGTCGCACCCAGGAGAGAGGTTCTGCTGGTGCAGGGACACGCACAAACTCAAATGGCAGTAAATAACTCGATACTGAAAACAAGAATAAAAAGACATTCATACGAGAAAAAGGTGAGGAAAGGGCAGGCTTTCAAAGAATAACACGGTCTGTCTTATGGCATTTTCTCAATGTAGTTTTAACCAGATGCGTAGTTAAATAGATATAATCAGACTGAGCTAGATAGATTATGAAAAGACTGAGATAGATAGATAGATAGATAGATAGATAGATAGATAGAAGGATGAAAATACTGAGATAGATAAAGAGATTATGAAAAGACTGAGATAGAGATAGATAGATAGATAGATAGATAGATAGATTACAGGCTGTTATCGATAGACATGTATAAACATATGAATAATATATATATATATATATATATATATATATATATATATATATATAGATAGATAGATAGATAGATAGATAGAGAGAGAGAGAGAGAGGAGAGATAGAAAGAAATAGAATGATAGAGATAATTTAGAGGTTGTTATCGATCGTAAAATATAAATAGAGTAATATATATATATATATATATATATATATATATATATAGAGAGAGAGAGAGAGAGAGAGAGAGAGATTAGAAGACAGGGGATTGAAACTAGAAGGAGAGAGAGAAAAGGAAGAAAAGAAAGCGTGATAGATAGAACAGTGAGATAGATAGATAGATAGATAGATAGATAGATAGATAGATAGATAGATAGATATTGAACGTAATGAAATATATCGATACTTTAGACACTGTTATTGACCAAAAACTACAAGTTAACGAACACACATACATATATATATATATATATATATATATATATATATATATATATATATATATATATATATATTGAGAGAGAAAGAAAGAAAAAGAGAGATAGTGATATGCAGTCAGAGAGAGAATTAAAGCAAAAGGGCGAGAGAAAAATGGTTGGAGATCGTGAGAGACGATATAGATAGATTTGAACAGACTGAGATAGGCATAGAGATAGATAGATAGATAGATAGATAGATAGATAGATAGATAGATAGATAATGAACATATTGAGATAGATAGATAGATAGATAGATAATGAAGAGACTGAGATAGATAGATAGATAGATAGATAGATAGATAGATAGATAGTTAGATAGATAATGATTAAACTGAAATAGATAGATAGATAGATAATGATTAAACTGAAATAGATAGACAGATAGATAGATAATGATTAAACTGAAATAGATAGATAGATAGAGAGATGTGATGCATGCTACATCACTTTCGTGTATGCACGTTACAAGATAGCATAATCGACAATCAGGTAGCAGCCATCTATCTACCTATTTTAACCTCTCCATTTTTACCCTCTCTCTATCTCTTTCATTGTCTGCCTCTCTGTCTCTCGATAAGATTTCTTCCGGGGTGAAGGATTGCATCATATCTTCCGTGTTTCCACGGAAATGCTAAATGAAACCGCCATTTTCTTCTTCTTGGTTTACTCCTGCTTTTTCATCCGCCATAGTCCATAGCTGTCCCAGCTATACCTTCATGACATTTCGCATCATGACATATGCCTCTCTGTATCTGCGCGTAATGCCTGTCAGCATGCAGTCAATGAGTTTAAGTTCGAAGTTCAGATCTCACAAGCGATGAAGAAATCTTCAGGCAAAAGAATACAAAAGGACATTTATATTCAAAATCATTCATAATGAGGAAGGAGGGCTTGGAGAATGTGATGCTTACTAGGACATATAGAAAGAAAAATCCGACAGAGGAAGTCTGCAGGCCATTTACCTTACAAAGTAATATCAATGGATTGTAGAACGGGACTGCGAGGCTTGGCAACGGAACAAATGTTGTATGTTGTTAATAGTTACATGTTGTTAAAAGTTACATGTTGTTAATAGTTAAATGTTCTTAATAGTTACAAGTAGAGGAGAGTTATGATTGCAGAAAGAAAACAACAGGATTTCCTTGGCAGTAAAAGAAAGCGAGATAAAAGGAATATCTATTAATTGGCAGCAGACACAATATATTTTTGTTCGCATGAGAAATAGCCGAAGATAGGAAATAAAAATAGAAGATGCCATCGTCAATATATATATATATATATATATATATATATATATATATATATAGTCATTCATGCATAAGCTCGATTCGCTATATCACAGCTCATCAGTGTGGCTAGATATCCGATTGCTTCAAGCCGAGATCGAAACCCGACCGATTTGGCATCAGTCGGAGATCCTAACGCTAAGCGATCGGCAGAAAAAGTGAAATTCTAACGTATTACATGCGGATGTATACAAACACCAGCAGCTTGAGTACTCAATTTATTAATGTATATATATATATATATATATATATATATATATATATATATATATATATATATGGTATGTGCACGAGAGTTTGCTGAAAAGTTCATAGGATGACTATTAAAAAACATGCTTGTGTTGTGAAACCTTGCATTCATTTCAAATGTTATTCACCAGCCTAAGAACTTTTCAGCCCACCCTCTCACCTGGAAAGAAACAATGCAGTTATTAATAAGAAGTGTTGAAGTTAATGCTTGCAAGGTTTCACAGCTCTAGCATCACTCCTTCATAGTCAGACTATGAACTTTTCAGCCCACCCTCGCACCTGAAAAGAAACAATGCAGTTATTAATATGAAGAGTTTAAATTAATGTACGCAATATTTCTCAGCACTAGGTTCATTCCTTCATAGTCAGCCTACAAACTTTTCAGCCCACCTTCGTACCTGGAATTCCGTTATTGATAAGAAGAGTTGTAGTTAATGCATGAAAGATTTCACAGCTCCAGAATCTTTCCTCCATAATCAGGCTATGAGGTTTTCAGCCCACGCTCGTATTTGAACCTCAGGTAATTTATCCAAAATTTAAATTCCAATATACAAATAGAAACATGCTGTAAACAAGCGGAATTTGACTGTCGCATTTATTCAAATTTGTTTGACGATGTACAGGTTGCGTTGGACAAAGTGTTGCCATTTTATATTTTTAATTTCCCGCAGGCGCATTGATTATTTATCATTTTGTCGACTGCACAGTATAGTAGAGTCAGTTGGGCACCGTCTGTGAGACACAAAGCACAATAACGCAAGTCACTCCAACAGAAATTTGAATACCACATGCCTTACAGCTTGGCATTCGCACCGGAAGCTCCAATCCGAAAATTTCAGAATGTGTGGGGGCAAATATGAGGACAGTGTAGAGGATTCGGAAAAAGTTAGATGAGTCTAGTGGTAGTTACGATGGTGTTTGATTACTAGAGATGGCAATGTTATGCCTCCGTTCATCATCTCACTGAGCAATAGTTCAACACGGAGGCCTACATGAATTGCACTGAGGAGGTAATGCTGCCCTGGGCCAAGATGGTGGCTTCTGGAAGAACCTATGTCTAGCAACGGGACTCTGAACCATACCACAGAAGTAGGAGTACCCAATCATAGATATCAGATAATTTCTGCTACCTCATCACACCTTACATTTGGCCACATAACTCCCCAGAATGCAAACCCCTTGTGTGAGGCGCAGTTGAGCGGTAGACCCCCCCCAAAAAAAAAACTGTTTATAGCATTAAAGATGAGGTGAAGGCAATGATTATAACAACATTCAGCAACTTAAACAAGGAGATCCTCCAGATTATGTGTGGGGCATAGTTAAACTATAGACGAATAAAACCCTATGTAACGCCAAAAATGAACTGAACGCGAGGTTTATGGCAATATTCATTAGCTTAAACAAAGAAGCCCTCCAGAAGAATTGCAGATCTCAAAGTCTCATGAAGGCTGTGGCTGAGCCAATGTCGATTTTATTGAATAGATTTACTAGTCTGTCTATATTTTTGAGATGAGGTATTACGTACATTATTCGGACTATTGTCCTCATCTTTGTCGCCATATTTTATCACAACCTTCTTCAGGTGGTTGGAATGTCGAACTGAACCCTTTATTTCGTTCACTGGGGTAGACTGTTCTAGTTCCACGTGCCATGTTTAATGGATGTCAGCTATTAGTTATCTCCAGTTAATTTTCCCTCTGAAAGTTCTCCACTGCCTTAACCGGGTATTGAACTCACACTCTTTGGATCCTGTCACTGGATCTAACCAACGCCTTTATCCACTGTGCCATGTGTCATTGAGGACATCTGGGTATGAATTTCTGAGTATTATAAAACTAATGGCTTCAGCAACCATTTTTACCAGTGCTCATATTGCAATTTTTTCTGTTATCATTTCATGCTTTTACCAGAGCTCATATTGCAACTTTGTTGTTATCATTGCTTTTCTCTGGCACTCCTTATTACTGGTTCCCATATTGTATTGATTTCTATGCTTGGTCGGCTCAGGAGATTTTTGTGGCCTAGCATATGTGCTGATTCCTTAAGCTTACGAATTTTCCAATGGTGTTCCCTATCTATGATCTCAACATGATACCACAGAGGGTAGTGATTTCCCTTCTCTCTCCATATGTGGTCAGCTACGCCTAATTTTTCTACTTCCCTCGTGTTACAGATTTCAGGTGTTCTTGAAGCCTTAGCTTGAGGGGGCGGCCTGTCTCTCCTTTATATTCCTTTCCGCAGCTGCACGGGATAGCGTACAAACAGTATTTAGTCATGTTCTCCTCTATGGGGGTTCTTACTCGGGAGAGATATCAGCGAAGTGTTGTCAAGCTTTTGAAGGATGTCCTGGTGTTATATAGACCTCAGATCCTTTGTATTTTCTCTGATAACCCCTTCACATAAGGCAGGCAGAATGTTTTCTGAGTGTTGTTGTCCTCCTCCTCTTGTACCCGCCTATCCCAGTTTTAGGGGGCTGCTGCCATGCACCCAGGATAGTTGTTACGTTGTAGGGTACTACTTATACTGACCAATTCTTTATCTAACATCTCTGGGTCGCCACTTATGACTTTTGCTCGATGTTGATAAATATGGCGACAAAGATGAGAACAATAGTCCGAATAATTTAAATAATAGATTTACTAGTATTTCAAGATATTTTTGTGTAATTTTGGTAAATATATCTGTTAAAATGAGGTGTCATTGTTATTTTAATTTGGGGGTAATTTAGACAGCAATTTAGCCATTGCACTCTGTATATGTGAAGATAAACAATTTGACACTGAAATCTAAAGGCGCAATGGAATTGCAAAATAGTCTTCCAAAAAATTAGCGAAGTATTAC